TCCCCTTCTCTGCCAGCTGCATCTTCCCAGCTAGTTCAGAGCCTTCAACACCAGAAGCCTGCGCTCTGGAGGGGAAGTCAGAGCCTGAGCTCAGCTGTGTATATGGCAGTGAACAAAGGCTCGGGGGCTCTTCCTAAATGTCTCGCTGGAGGCACCAGCGTTTGTATCGGTGGCCTCCTGTCTCCTTGCCTCCTGTGTTTGAGCTGAGTAAGGAATCAGAGAGCTCTCCTTCCACCTTCTGCCTGCATCCCCTCCACGAGGGCACCTGCTCAGGCCTGGCTTTAGCCAGATCACTGCACGGCTGCTTGACACGGCTCTGCCTATGGGGAAAGTTCAGGCTTCTTCATCTGATATTCCAAGCACGCCTTGATCCGCCCAAGCTCACTCCTCCAGCCTCCGCCCGCCCGCCTTTCCTCACCGCTCAGTCCCTCTGCTCTCATTCCTGTAGGGAAGTTGTGTGGAGGTGGGATGTGGTTATCCGTGAGCGCCTGAGGGGTAAGGAGCAGCCCTGTGGGTAGGGGCCAGGCCTCTGTGGAAGAGAGGTCATTTGCAGTGCATCCAGGAAACCTTCCCTTTGTCTCTTCTGACGCATACTCCCCTTTCCACACTTGGCTTCCCCTCCTCCTTGGCCTGAAATGCTGACTTCTCTGCATCCAAGGGCTCCCTTGCCCTCTGGCTTGCAGCTGGGTTTGGAGGAAGGGAGGAGAGTGAGGACAGGGAATTTATTACCCCAGGTCCCTCCCGCAAGGTCACCACAGGGTGGCCGTGTCCCTCTGACCCCGTGTGCAGCTGCTATTAGGCAGCTACTCTCAGAGGGGCCTCCCCACTCTTGCTAGCCCTAGGGTTCTGAGGCTCCCCATGTTGGTTTCCCTAAACCCTGCCTCCATCTTTGTAGAGGCCCTTTATTCAAGTCTCCTCACGTTGCGCAGGGTGAGGCTGTGATCACGGTGCTACCAGCACCCTGCATGAATCTAGTGCTGGCCCCTTGAGGGAGAGCCGAATCCCCAGACAGGAAACAGGGACTGAGACAGCAGGCTCTGTAGGCAGGAGGGCACAGCCGCCACTTCCTGGGCATCCTTCTCCTGGAATGGAGGTACCCCTTGGCGAGGTACAGGCAGGAGCTCAGTAAACTCCACTGCTATCTTAGTGCTTGCTGCTTCCAACCTGGAGCTGAGCGCAAATGCGGAAGGTGGCTCCTTCCACTCCTCCCCTGGGAAGGGGAAGCCGCCCTGAACCACCAATGGAGACCATCCAGCGCACTAACAGTCATCTCCAAACACTTGGCTCACACACCCCAGTGGGTAGAATATTTTTGAGGATGTGCCGCATATCAGGTCAGGGTCCCAGCAGGAGACAGATGCCACTTTTCAATTAGGGTAATATGAGCAGATTTCTTCACAAAGGACTCTTTATAAAGGTGCGAGTGCAGGGACGCCTGGAGGAACAGTGCAGTAAGCAGGGGCTGGCTGCGCCGCAGGGCTGTGACCGCCACGCCATGAGGGGAGGGGGTGCTGAGCCAAATTTGGAAGGAGACAATCAACTTGTAAGCAGCTTCCAGGAAAGAGTTGCCTGCGGTGCCCTGCGGGGATGGAGCAGTGGAATCAATTCCCCAACTGCACTTTGCCAGTGTCCTCTGATCTCCCTGAGCCTCCCCTTAGCCAGATCCTACCTGACACCTGAGGGCAGGGAGCCCTGGTGATGGAGACCATGCAGGGCAGCCTCAGAGCAGGGAGGTGGAGGAGGTGAGGCACCCAGGGGTAAGCAGGAGATACTCAGCGTGTATCCCTAGCAAATGTACACTTATTTATTAGTAAATTCTAAATGTGCAATTGTGCTAATACGTGCATTATAAAGTATACAGAAAAAGGGGAGGTGAAAAGCATGTGGTAAAACAGACAGAAGTGGAAGTTCTATTCCATTTCCTCTGCCCCCAATAGATTCTTTCACGCCGCGTGGGGGTGTGTTTTTCCTGCTTTGAGGAACACCGAGTTCAAAGGCCAGTGCCCTGAAGGAACACTCTGGGGTGACGGGAACATTAAATTGATCTTCATGGTGATTGTATGAGTGCATACACGTGTAAAAAGTGCATGTGCTCGTGTCACGCTGCACACCGATCTGGGTCAGCGGGTTCCCTGTTCTTCCATTGTTCATCTGGGAGGTGGGGCTGCCCGTAGCTCCAGGGCTACCTCCCTCACTGTCTTTTCTTCTCACTCCTCTTAGCCCATCCGTACAAGGCTGATGTGGTCCAGCCCAGAATGCCTGCCTCCCTGAGGAGGTCCAGCCACCTTATTCGCTGAGAGTAATCATGAGTCACATGTATATAGCTCTTCCTATGTGCTGGCAGTAGCTCTAAGCACTGAATATGTATTCACTCATTTAATCCCCACAACAGCCCTGTGAACACTGGTACTGTCTTTACTTCCATTTTACAAACAAGGACACTGAAGCACAGAGAGGTCAAGTGACTCACCCAAAGCCACACAGCATGTAGAGTAGAGCCGGGACTTGCTCCAGGGCCTGCGCTCCAATCCATGTTGTGCAGCTTCTCATCTTCCTCAGGGCCAGAAAGTTACACTCGGGGCCTGTTCCCTTGAAGCCGATCTCTTTTTTCTCTGTCATTTTTCCCAGATTCCAGTTATTTTCCTCTCACGTGGCAATTGGTGTGGGACGGAGTCCAGGCCAGGACTATCTTGGCAGCACAGTGGTAATGAATAAGCAGCGCCCTAGGGCAGGCAGCCTGGGAGGCAGAGTCAGGGCCTGGGGCTTTGCCTTTCTCCCGGTCAGCCTGGAGATGGGAGAGGTTTCTGTTTCCCCAGACAACCCCCAGCAGGCTGGCTTCCTTCTCGCCCTCCCTCCCCACCACCTGCAATGAGTTGCTGCTGCCCCAGCCTGTGAGATGCTCCACGGCCTTCCAGGCCCAGTGAACCCACACCCCGCCTTGTGAATCTGAGAGCCCAGATTCCCTCACTGTGACTCGGGGAAGGCAGGAACCATATCTGTCTTCCTCACTGTCACCACCCGACACCTTCTTCAAAGGTGCTTCGGGACACAGCAGGTACCAATAACTGCTAGACTCTGCAAAGGAATGTTAGAATGTTCTCAAAGGTCTTGACAATTTCTGTGGGCCCGGTGGGTCACCAGGGTTTTCCAGCAGGTGAGTTTCATGGCCAGAATTCTCCAAGTGTCCTGAGGTGTTTGGCGCTGGCTGGTATCTTCCCTTTTTTTTTTTTTTTTTTTTTGAGATACAGTCTCACTCTGTTGCCCAGGCTAGAGTGCCATGGCACGATCTCAGCTCACTGCAACCTCTGCCTCCCAGTTTCAAGCGATTCTCCTGCCTCAGCCTCCCCAGTAGCTGGGACTATAGTGCACACCAAAAAGCCCGGCTAATTTTTGTATTTTTAGTAGAGACGAGGTTTTGCCACATTGACCAGATTGGTCTCGAACTCCTGGGCTCAAGTGATCCACCTGCCTTGGCCTCCCACAATGCTGGGATTACAGGCGTGAGCCACCGCGCCTGGCAGCATCCTCCTTTGTTTCTGAAGTGTTTACTGAGAGCTCTGGTAGCCTGATGAGCCCCTCCCCATGGGCTGCAAAAGAGAGGGTGGACCCCGCTCATCAGCAGCACGAGGTGTGGGAAGCAGCAGGATGACGCTTGCGAGGCCTGCTTCCCCAGCTGCTGGGCACCATTCGTGCCCACCCGGTGGGGGAGAGCCTGCGGGGCATGGGCCTCGCAACAGCCTCGCATCAGAAGGCCCTGAGCATACTGATCTCTGTCGCCTCACAAGGCAGGTCACTTCCCTCCTGAGCTTCCAAGCCTTTACCGGAGCTGTTTTCTTGTCCCTTAAGTCTGTCGGTATTGAAGTCTGGGCGGCCTGACAGCCCTGGCAGGCAGCCCAGAGGCCAGCGCCCCCGGCAGACACTCTGCCTTATTTGCGCAGCTTCACGGCCGCTGTGATTGGGTGGCATTTGTGAGCACAAAAGAGAAGACTCGGGCATTCGGAAGGCCCTTTCAGCAAAGGGCGCCACAGGCCTGCTGGCTGGAAATTCTCCTGAGCTCGGCTGGAGTCTATTTGCAGGCGTGCAGGCGTTTCTGTTTGCTTCCTGACCCTGGCCTCCTGGGCACTGCAGGGGGCAGGCCTCTGCATGTGGGGACAGGCGGGGGTTGGCACAGAGGTTTCTGCCAGGGCCTCTCTGCCTGGAGGACCTGGCCTTGTGGTCTTCCCCAGGCCCATGTGCCCTGCTTGCCTGCTCTCTCACCAACAGGGTGATGAGATGGCATCCCCAGAGATCAGTCCTGTACCGCCTGGCCTCCCTCTGCCTGCCTCTGCAGCCCGCTGAGAAGTGAATAGAAGCTGCTGCGGTGTGGCCGGGAGTCAGCTAGGAAGGGCCAATCGGCTTAACTGGTGCCCCACGTGACTGGGGCTCCTCGGTCACATCATCTGTGGTACCTAGATCAAAGGTCCTGCCAGGGGTGCACCAAGTCCTCCTCTTGGCAGGAAGCAACAGACTAGAGCAAGTGAGGGAGAGTAGAAGCTGGTGGGGAGTTTTCCCAGACAACAGCCTGTCCCGTGCTGCTCCCTGCCGGCCCCAAATCAGGAGTCCCCCCCACCTCACGCCTCACCGTGTTTCTAGTCCTGAGAGCGATGGGCTGGGGAATGGAGGCTCTGAAAATTCCACCCAGGTATGGTGCCCGGTTCCGGCATGCCCTGTGGCCGTCTGTTGTTGATTTTAAATCTGTTCGCCCAGGAGTCCCAGTTCAGCTCAGCAGACAGCAGTATTTGCTTATTAATTTGTTTATTGATTTACTGGGCTGTACTTGGGGCTTCTCCCGGGAAGGACTCCAGACGCGCGTGTGCCGCTCAGCATGCAGCCATCCGTCAGACTCAAGTTTGGGCTTAAGATGCCACAAGGCCTGGAGTGGGCAGGCCTGGAGCCAGCGCAAAGCTCCCAGAGGATGAACTGGACCACGGGGCACTGGAGGACTGAGGACAGTCGGGGAGATGGGAGGCCGCCTGCAGCAGCTGCCGGACGCAGGCACGCTGTACTCTGTGGGAATGGGGCCCCTGGAGCTGTGCAGCTGGGCAGTCCTGGTTTGGGCCTCTCCTTACAGAGCAAGGGGAACACATGTCTTCTCAGAAAGGCCCTTCTCTGTCTCAGATCATATTTAAGGGGCCTCCTTCCAGAGGCAGGGGATGGAGGAGAAAGCCAGTCCAAGGTCTTTGGGCCCCAGAGGCTCAGATTCCTGTCTTTGGATGGGTTTTCCAACGTGCCAGGATTAAGTAAGGCGAGGGGTGTTTCTAGCAACGATTCTCTCAGCTCTTGCATAATAAACTATATTTTTTTTAAAAAAAACCTCTGAGGACACGTCTGTGGCTTTGTCGCCTTTTTGAGGCATATGCTGACTACAGATTGTGGCAGCAGGATGGAGGGGAGGGGAGGAGAAGCGGGAGGAGGCCACGGTGTCTGAACAGAATTCTGTCACGGATGTAGAAAGAGCCTCCCTGAGGACTTGTAAGAGTGAGGTGGCTGTGATTGTGGACTTGGCATCAGGCAGACCTGGGGTGAATCCTGGCTCCCTCATTTATGAGCTGGGCAACCTTAGGCAAGTTATTCACCCTCTCTGTGCTTCATCTCATCCATAAAGTCAGAGTCAGCTTGTCAGCCTCACAGGACTGATGTGAGGGTTATAAATGAGACAATGTCGGAAACGCGTTAGTATATAATTAGCTGCTACCTCCTTAGCACATGTGTAAGATGGGAGACGGGATGCTTCCTGATGGAACTCTCACCCCTGAAATGAAAAGAGGGCCATGTCTGAGTAAACCCGAGAGTTCCCTTTTCAGATCTGCCTTTCTCTTTGGCTGCTCTGGACTTCCCTCGGCCTTCCTGGTGCTGTTACGTTTCCCTTTCCCTCCACGTCCAATATCAAAACCTCCTGATGTGTCTATAAGCCAGCATGGACGAACAGGAAGCCTCAGAAGATGCTGGGTGTGGACACGGGTGCTCAGGTCAGGAGAGGGAAGGGGCGGTGGGTACCCTCAAACCCAGCTGCCTTGTGAGAGTGGAGCGTGCGGGCTGAGGATTCCCACTGCCCAGGTTCCACTCCCAGCCCTGCTGGGCACTGCTGTGCATCCTTGAGCAAGCGGCCTGATCTGCCTGTGTCTGGTTTCTGCATCTGTGCAAGGAGACTATGATAGGACTGCACTTAGCTTGGAGGGTTGTGAGGGTAAGCGAGCTAATGCATGTTACACACTTAAAATACGAAGCATCTGGTACATAGTTCCAAGTCCTCCCCAACATCTGCCGTCATTCCTACCCCCTCCCTGAGCACACCACACTTAAGCCATGTCCAGTCGTGGCCTTTTTGCCTTTGCATTTGCTGTTTGTTAGCCAGGACTGTTCTTCCTCCCAACCTGTCTAAGTCTTTCTCATCATTCAGAGCCTTGTTCCATTCACTTCGGAAAAATCTTTCTCAGTCCCTTGGGATAAAATTTACCTCTCTCTCTTGTTCTCTCTCTTGCTGTCTCCTGAACTCCCCAACTCTCTTCATGTATCTATCTCAGTTATATCATTTTCTTCCCTCTCCCTCCACCTCCCACCAAAGGCCTCCCCGTTCTTCGGGACTTGGGGACTTGACGTAGATGTCACTCCCTCCAGGAAGTCTTCCTAGATCCCCTCCCACCCCTGCATTTCCTCCCACAATACTCTGTGTCTACACATCCTCACCACACTCTGAGGGATGGGTTGGTCTGTTTCTTTGTGTGCCTCCCCCAGCTGATTGTGAGCTTCTAGTGAGGCATCCATATCAGTTAGCCTTAGCATGGGCTGTAGGTCATGAATAGTACAACCCCAAATATTGGCCCATGCAGTTTAGCAGTGTTATTTCTTCCTCTCTTGAAAGTCTGCAGTATGGGGCTGGTTGGTGGCTCTGTTTGATATGGTCCTCCGAGGCCCAGGCTCCTATTATCTTGTGCTGTGAGGGGTGACTTCCGTCTCCTCACAGTCCAATGCGGCTGCTTCAATTCCAGCCATTTCATCTACTTTTCAGTCACCTGGGGGAAGAGTGAGTGCCAGCCATCCCTTAAGGAGTTTCAGAAGCTATCACTTGACACTTTGCACTGTATTGGTCTGAATTTAGTGAGAGGACTATGTCCAGCTGCAAGAGAGGCTGAGAAATCTGGTCTTTATTCTGTACGGCTATGTGCCTGGCCGAGAATTCCAGGACTAGGGAAGAAGGGGAGAGTGGAATGGGGACGACCAGCAGTCTCTGCCACAGGGCCCCTGCCTCATTCATCCCTATGTTGTGCCCCAGCCACACCACAGCACATTGCCTGGCACATTGTAAACATTCCACATTTGCAGAAAGGCCCATATTGACAGTTACAGCACGTGCGTTTGCCTCCTTGACTGGAGTACATGTGTGGCGGCCGCCGATTGATCCATGTGTTCCCCTCCCCAGTTCACTCATTCAACAAACATTTGTGCTTCCTATGCACTGGATGTTGTTCTAGATACAGGGATGAAGCCATGAATAAAAGAGGCAGAAGTCTGTACCCTCTGGGGCTCACATCCCAGTGGCTTCTATAGTGATAGCAAGCACTGTTCGGCCAGGTGAGGTGGCTCACACCTGTAATCCCAGCACTTTGGGAGGCCAAGGCAGGAGGATCACCAGAGGTCAGGAGTTCAAGACCAGGCTGGCCAACATGGTGAAACCCTGTCTCTACTAAAAATACAAAAATCAGCTGGGCGTGGTGGAGGGCACTTGTAATCCCAGCTACTCGGGAGGCTGAGGCAGGAGAATCACTTGAACCCGGGAGGTGGAGATTGCAGTGAGTCGAGATGGTGCCATTGCACTCCAGCCTGGGCAACCGAGTGAGACTCGGTCTCCACGACATTTCAAAAAAAAAAAAAGGCAAACGCTGTTCGCAGTACTTTCTTTCTTTCTTCATTAAAAAAAAAAAGAAAGAAAGAAAGAAAAAGAAAAAAGAAACAGGGTCTTTCTCTGTTGCCCAGGGGCTGGAGTGCAGTGGTGCGATCACAGCTCACTGCATCCTTAACCTTCAAGGCTCAAGCGATCCTCCTGCCTCAAGATGTCCACCACCACACCCGGCTAATTTTTTGATTTTTGTTTTTTTTTTTTTTGAAATGGAGTCTTGCTCTGTCACCCAGGCTGGAGTGCAATGGCATGATCTCGGCGCACCGTAAGCTCCACCTCCCGGGTTCATGCCATTCTTCTGCCTCAGCCTCCCAAGTAGCTGGGACTACGGGCGCCCACCACCATGCCTGGATAATTTTTTGTATTTTTAGTAGAGACGGGGTTTCACCCTGTTAGCCAGGATGGTATCAGTCTCTCAATCTCGTGATCCACCTTCCTTGGCCTCCCAAAGTGCTGGGATTACAGGTGTGAGCCACCACGCCCGATCCAAATTGTTTCTGAGGACTAACTCGTGCAAGTTGGGTCCCCACATTAGTCACCTCTGTCTTACAGGTGAGGAAACTGAGGTACAGAAAGGCCAAATGACTCACTACGGTCGCACGGCTTATGTGAGGCAGAGTTGGGTTTTGACCTGGATGGTCTGCTGGAGAGCCCACTATTGCCTCTAGCGCCCTTGCACTCCAGTGCCCTCGCTGCATGCCCTGCCCTGTGCCCTGCTTTCCTCAGTTACTGGAGCCACAGATATTTCCCGTAGTTTCTGTCATCACCATCTGTGGTGGCTCCAGGGGGAAGGGCGGAGCGGAGCAGCTGTGGTCTGCAGCAAATGGGGGGAGAGGAGGGGCTTGTGGTTCCCGTGTGGGGTCAAGAAGGATTTGTGGGCACTTGCCTGGGTGGGGCCTGTGGTGAATGGAGCCGGGGCCCTCCTGGCCTGGCTGACATGTTCTCTCTGCCCCTCTTTGATTCTCCCCGGGGCCTGCCTGCCTTCTCAGGCCCTCTCTGAAGTCCAAAGGGAGGCTGCAGGGCCTCAAGCCTTCCCCACCTGCCTTGTCTTGTCCTGTGACTGACTTCCAGACCTCAGAGGCGTCTTTGCAGCTCAGCCAGGGGAAGCGAGAGGGTCCCCTACCCACACCCTGTGGAGCACATCTGTCTTCCCAAACCTTTTCCTAGCCCCAGGGAAAGGGAGAGAAAAGAGAAGGGGGAGAAAGAGCTCTGGGGAAAGGAAAGCCCACCAAAAATGAGATGCTGGGGCTCACGTCTCTGCTACCTCCCCACGCCTCACCTTTCCCCAGTGGCCTGCTGTTGTCCTTCGGGGGAATGGGGCTTCCCGGCACACCTGCTCCATTACTGGGAACATTACATTGCACAGGGGAGGGCCCTGGGGCTTGAGGAGGGCGGGTCCCTGGCTCCGCTGGTTAGTCAGTGGAAGGGTAGAGATGAAAATTCTGCCCCTGGTGTGGTGGGCGGGGAGGGAGCAGAACACGGCTGCCCATTTTGCAGACGGGCACATCGAGGGCTAGACATTTAGTTAAGTGGCCCTGCCCATAAGCCACAGGTTGCACAGTGAGTCAGGAATGGAACTTGTGTGTCGGGGACTCTCAGTCCAGGGTTGACCTTTCTGATTTCACCTCTGGCCCCACAAATTTGGTTTCTGAGACCCCCAAGGATCTTAAAGCACCTAGGTAAACCTGTGGACATCAGTAAGTGCTTGTGGCCAAGCTGGTTCCTGGCAAGCATTGTGTGAAATGCTGTGGAGGATAAAAAAGAAAGGGCTGGGTGCGGTGGCTCACGCCTGTAATCCCAGCACTTTGGGAGGCTGAGGTAGGCGGATCACAAGTTCAGGAGTTCGAGACTAACCTGGCCAACATGGTGAAACCCTGTCTCTACTAAAAATACAAAAATTAGCCAGGCACGGTGGCAGGCACATGTAATCCCAGCTACTCGGGTGGCTGAGGCAGAATAATTGCTTGAACCTTGAAGGAAGAAGTTGTAGTGAGCCGAGATTGCACCACTGTACTCCCGCTTGGGTGACAGAGCAAGATTCTGTCTTGGAAAAAAAAAAAAAAAAAAAGACCCAGATGTGATTCTCATTGGTGGTGGTGATGGTGTGTTTCCAAACAGGTTGGTGAGATGAGTACTTGGAAATAGGAAACTCTTCAAACACTGACTATTTCAATATGTGGTAATGCTCCTGAGTGCCTTGAGAGCTGGAATGGATTGGAGCAGTTCAGAAAGCTTCCTGGAGGAGGAGGATTTGAGCTGGACCTTAAGAAATGCTAGGAACTAAACTCATACTGGAAGGATGGAGATGCAGCAGGAGCGTGGGAACGGCAGCTTGAGTCAAGGCACAGAGGTTGGTCTGAGTGGTGTGTGTCAAGTACAATGCAAAGCTTGGCATGACAGCGTGGCTCTGCTGGAGAAGAGTGGGCAACGACGCTGGAGAGGAAATGAGGGGTCAGATGGTGGAGGAGTTTGGTAGAGCAGCAGAGGCATCTAGACTTAGTTCTGTAGTCCGGGGAAGACTGATATTCAGTGTGGGTGGCTGCAATCTCCCCTCCTTCGTTCATGGCAGACATGAATCACT